TTACTATAACCGAAGTTCTTGTAAAATGTTGGAGAAAGCAGTTAGATATGAGTCGTTGATCTTTCTGTTATCTTAATTACTCATGTAGGTTCCACAAAAGCAAGTGAAAGTCCTTGATCATCCAGATCTACAGGTATTCTGATTGTATCAGAAGGGTATATCTCTATGTTCTTAAATGTCTAAGCAGAGTTTTAATGCTTAGTTCTTACCAGGATGGTTTTGGCAAATCATGGAACTCTAAGTTACTGTCAAAGATTATCAAGGAGGAAATTGTCAATTGTGCAATTGATTTGGTAAGTGATTTCAGTAATTATCTTGTTCAACTAAGATGCCTTTTCAAGTAACCTTCAGTAGCTTGTGCTTCTTTGGTTGTTCTAAATTTAAGCTTCCTCCCATTGACTTCATTGTATAAGTTGCTGTTCTACTTCACTAGATTAAAATCTTGATCTGAAGGTATATCCTTCGTTTATTTGTTCATTTCAGTTGAATATTAAAGAATATAGTTTTCATTATTCCTATTTCAGATGCCACGAATCAATTTGATTTGATTTTCCCTCTACTTAATTGGAGTTTATATGGAAGAATCCGCTATGACTTCATTGGGGCCTACCATTCTGGATTTTAAGTAGAGAACCCAAGAAGGGATTACATATTCCTTACGTGGTGTCTACCAAATGTACCAAGTACATTTGAAACAAGTGCATAATTTTAATGTGATAGACTCTTGTATTTATGCAAGCTTTAATGTTTGGTATAATAGAGGACAGTCTTTCAGAAAGGAAGCTGAAACTTCTATAAAGAAATATGGGGTAACCTCATGAAGTTCCGATTTAGGGAATAATGCAGCGGTTGCCTATTTCATGGTTCACGTTTTAGACAATAAATTTTTCATCACGAAAATAATCAAGACTGCAAAATGCTGTAAATAACTGTAGTAATTTATTTCAATACAGTCAATATTACAATCTCAAAAAAATGATTCTTCTTTTCACAAATAAATTCAAGGGCCTTCGAGTTTGGCCTTGAACTTTGTGTATTTTAATCCAAGTGCTTGGAGCTTGATCTTGAATTTTAATCTTGACCTTTGAATACTTAAAACACTTGAATACTTGCAACTTATAGAGAAATGTGTACCCTTTGATCTACGAACTGCTCTAGCTTCTACATTGACCCTGCCTGATCAAACACAAGTTATTATCTGCCAAAAATGGGTAGTATTGCTGCCGGGTAAGGATGGAATTGAAGAAATTAGGCTTGAGCATCTTGTAATCATTTATGAGGTTGAGAAGGAAAATTGACGAAAACCCATCATTGATTACTTGAGCGTTACACCCGACTGTTGCATCTTGGCCATTTGACATTTGGGGACTAGATGAGCAGAAGTTGTTGCTCTCAAGGAAGTAAAGAAAGAAAATGTTGCAAACTCCATTCGAGTAAATATCATATGCTTTGACATTCCTTGTTATATAACAATGGACAATGGCAAGCCATTTTGATAACGAATTGATGAATAAGATTTGTGATATATTTGTCTTCAAGTAGCGTAAGATTTTATAAGATTTTCCTTTTGTTTGTATTCAAAGTGTTGCCTTACGAGTTATTTGTGAGCAGAGGGAAATCTTATTTATGCCACCTTTTCATCTCATGGACACTTGTTTTCCAGGTCATAACTTTTGATAATTATGGAGTCTCAGGTCACTGTAACCATCAAGATGTTCATCAAGGTGTACGGTAAGTTATTCATCATATTCTGGTAGCTATTGGCAGTAATTTTGCAAATGAAATTAGCCACCATATTTTGGTATTACTTGGAAGTGTTCTTGCAGATGTTCTAAAGGGAGCTATTTAGTATTGACTGTTGACAGTGATATTTAATACTAGCAAAGTTTCATAGTGATCCTGTTTCTTTCTAGTTTGATATCTTTTATACTTGATTTGGTGTTTTGAACAAGCATCATTGTAAGGGATTCTTTACTTTTCTTTTGTTGAATCTATAATTGATTGACATGCCGATAACATGTGTATTTTGTATGACAAGGAAAACATTGATGAGTTGGACACTCTTCTGTAGATGTAGGACTTCAAAATAAATCTTCTTCAAGATTCAACAAATTAACTCAACCATAATTCTCTCATTATGATAGTTAGGTTAGCACGTTTACTTTAGGTCCTATATTCTTGGAGTCTTTTAGTCATATCAGATATTTATACACCAGTATAAACTACAGAGAATTCTAATAGTTTTTCTCTTTTCATTTTTATTGTTTAATAATATCAACATGAGATGAGCTTCGATAGAGCAGTACGGCTAGTGAGATTCATACAGCTGATTTGAACTTGGGTTTAGGATTGAGAGGTGTAGTCGTCGTTGTAGTATATTTCTCCCACTAGTCTTCTAGAATTTGGTAGTGAAATATGTAAGGCTTAAAATTAGTAGCTCATCTTTATAAAATGGTTTCTTTATATGCAGAAAACTGTTGCAAGATACTTCGCATAAAGAAGTTGAGGCCTGGGAGCTTGTGAGTTCTTCTCTTGTCTCTTTACTTTTGGTACTACTTGTAGATTTTTATTTTAGTATCTTGGGACTATCATAATACAACAACAGCAACTAAGTGTACGTTTCAATCTCAAGCAAGTTGAGGTCAACTATATAAATTCTCACTGACCATGTCGTTTCATTTAAGCTCATCTTTTTCTTGGGAATATCATAGCTAGAAAAATTTAGATGTTAATTGGTTTTTGAATTTTATGACACTCTGATTGGCATCTTTTCCATTCGTAACTTTATGGTCTAAGGTTTGAAGTGGGAGCTTCATTATAAATCATTCTCAGGTTAGCACTAGCATATTGCGCAAGTATAGTGGACCAGTTGACATATGGTTGTCCCTCCTATCTGCCAAGTTCCATTTAAGTGGAGTGGCACATTGCTTTCTAAACGAACATCCCAGAAGGAGCTTAGCTGCAATGGCTCAGCACAGGAGTCAGTGGGTTTGGTATGTAATACCCTTGCTATTTGTCTTGCTATGATACATGACTAAGGAAAGTTTCGAAACAACTAAAGGGAAATTTGTATTCCCAGTTTCTCTTTCCAGGCATTCATTACGTTATTCCAGTACGAGTGTGAGAGGACACATCAAGTATAAAGAAAATTATCTATAAGAGACATCTATAATAGTCTTGAGTTTAAGTTATCACGCAGTAGAAATGTAGTTGCAGATACACTCTTGGGACTAATGCATCAGTGCTTAACCAGATGCTTATAACGTTTGCTAGATTGCAGTTCACACACATACCTTGTCATAACTATGTTTGGGTTTACCTTTTCAGGTTTCGCAAGTTATTTGTTTCTTTCTCAAGTTACACATACGTTAACTGCGTTAGGAAGATCAACTAGATACATGTTAGAGCTGTTGGTTCAAGAAGACACTTGAAAGGAAGATCAATTAGATGTTGGTTCAACAACACTTGAAATGGCAGTGGTAAGTAAAACCGCCTAGTTTTCGATCATCAAAGTCTCTCTTGTGAGCCTTTCTTTGAAAAATTTCCTATTGATTAAAAATTGGAGAAGTGTTTGAATGTTTTTTTGTGGTTGTAGAATAGTTGGAACCATTTCACTTAATTAAATTGAGTGTAAATGTTTTGACCTCTTTTTTTTTATATTTATTTTATTTATAAGCAATAAATGCCTAGTGCTTTTGATGAATAATTTGGTTTTGATGCTATGCAAATCAATTGGTTTTTCTTTTTACTTCTCTTCTCTATCTTTTTTTTTTTCAACCGTAGGTATGTCATTCTTATAATGATTTAGTGGGCGTTAGATATTTGAGAAAACTACACAAATTGGATCCATTAGGTAAAGTATTTACTCAAATTGGACCCAATCCAATATAGGCCCAAACTATTTATCCGACTGCTCCATTGTCTATTCACTGAACCACTACTTTTTCATCATTGATATCATTAGAGTATATATACTCTGATGGTACTTATATACTTTGATGGTATCAAGCCATGATTGAGCAGTCTTTTCACTGGAACATTGTATGCTCCTCTTTGATTCCATCAAAGTATATATATACTCTAATGGTATCAAAGAGTAACTGAGTAGTGTTTTCACTGAAGCACTGCTTCTTCCTCTTATATTTATACTTTGATGATATTAAACAGTAAACACGCATAAGTAGTTAAAAACAAGAGGGTATGAAAGTAAAGAGGTTGCTTGTGAATAGTTTTCTTTAATGTTAGTGAAATTTTTTATCTCAAAGACTACTGTTTTTTTAATAAAGTAAATAGGTGACAAGTCCCTATCAAAATTTTGAAATATTAAAAGACACAAGTTAGAGAAAAGGCCACGTAAAAGTTAACAAATGTGTTTTAAGTAAGCAAAGGGAGAAGCACAATTCAAGTGGCAAAAGGATAAATTCTATAAATATATCACTTTGAGACAAATTCCTCCCTTTTCTCCAAACACATTGCGTGACTTCTCCTCCTTGTCTTTATTTTTCATTTCCTTTTTGTTTAACCAAAAGTTATTAATCTTCATGCTTCATCTCCAAGCATTCTTCTTTATTTCCCCTTTTCACCACAATTACGAAATGATTTTAACGACGTCGTTTGTTTGAATATTTTTTTTATTATAGTAAAATATTTGTTATAAAGATGATATATTGTAATATAACAAGAAAAATTGATTTCAGAGAAAACTTGATTGCTATAAAGGATGGTTGTATACATAATTATCAGTTAACCTACAGTAAAATAGTATTACTTATCATAACAAGCCTAATAAGGTAACTCAGGCGATTGTATGATAACCTGTTATAACTAGTTAAATTACATCAAGAATTTAAAATTTATTTATTTTATTCTTGAGGAAAAAAGGGAACAAAGCATAAAAAGTACAAGATTTAGAAAGCTAGTTTTGATGGTAAATATTAAACAAGGAATGCATGTCTTACATCTTTCTCCTACCATCAAATCCCCCCCCCCCCCCCCCCCTCTCCCCCACTTTTCCACCTTACTAATTCACCTCTTATCTACTTCTCCACCCCTTGATAATCTCCCAAAGTAAGCATCTTTCTCTTGTGTTATAATATGTAAGTAATGGGAAGGACATTCATAGCTTGTCTTTCTCCATTTCACCAAAGAAAATGTATCTTCCATATTACAAATAGTGAAACTATGGCTCTTTTTGCTTCATTCACTACTGAAATCAAGAATCTCCAATCATCACTACTATCCAACAATTCTTTAACTCTTCAATGGTGTGTAGAAGCCATGACTCTGCTGAAAAAACTCCACTCTCAATTTCTTCTCATCATATTGGAGAAATCAAAGGTAATACCGTTTACATGGATCAATGATGACATGTTGAATCTATACATGAATGAGAGTTTATACATCATGGAGCTTTGTAACATGTTGAAGACATCAAGTTTTAAGATCAACATGTTTCATCTAACAATTGATACTACAATCAAAAATCTAAATCACTATGAGGCAAAATCATTTGCCAATATGCAACCAATTGAACAAAGAGACAACAAGAGAATTCTTATTCAAGAAATGCAAAGGGATTGTTGTTCAAGTTTGATTTGCACAATTAGAGTTGCAATGAGTTTATTATCTTACATTCTTTTAAATGTTTTTATGTATCCAACTAAGAATTATAAGTTTGAAGTTGTTGATAGGATTTGTTGCAAGTACTCTTCTCCAATTAAGTCATTCAAGGACTCGGTTAATGAACTTGCCACTGAATTTCAAAGGAAATATTACAAAGATGGAGAAAGAGTAGTAATAAGATTTTATGAGTATGAAGAAATGGAGAAGGCAATAATGGAAGCAAAAGAAAAGTTTAAAAGTGGATATGAAGAAGAAGAAATAAAGAGAATTAAAGATGTTATTCTTCAGAAATCTATAGCTCTAAAGGTTGGTTTGGAGAAGTTTGAATCACAAGCTAATCAAGTATTTGAAGGGGTGCTAAAAGGAAGGAATAAATTGCTCCAAATGGTTGGTAAAACCAATGGAATTTTTAGATAAGTCATACTCTACTTCTTGTGTATATTTCTTCTTCATTTTTTTTTCAAGGGCATAGTTGGTAAGAAAAAATATATGTCTTATTATGGTCCACTTTATATGACATTATCATCATAATTTTCTCATTAACTATTAATCATATATAATTGAACTACATGTGTCTCAATTTATATATCGATTCTTTTTAACATCCTTGTTAGAAACAATTTGACTTCGTATTTTGTCCTTAATGAAATAATTATATCACACAAATATCAATCGCTTGTTTTAGATGACAAGATGTAAACAATCTTTCCTTTGTTTAAATCTTTTTTATGCCAAATTAAACACCACCACATGAATTGACATAAATTAGAATGAAGGAAGTAGTATATATGCAGTAGTTGTGACCGAGAATTATAACATACTACAAATCCCTCCATATTGTTAAACAAAACCTTATAGAGGAAAGACAGAAAAAAAAAAACAAATGCACAAAGCATCCCACGTTGGCAGAGTTCAAAGAAGGGCTAAATATTGAAAAGTGTGATGTAAACAATCTACCCTAAATTCCTAATGCAAGTACTAGTGGTTGCCTTAACGGCTCAAACTCATATATTATTGCTCCAAAGCTCCCTTTTGTTGAGGAAAGACACATCTATGTAATTAATATATTGGTAACGAGTTTTTTTTTATTAAGATACGTTAATTCTCATTCAAATAATTTAATTTTTATCCATCATGATTGGTGTAGATAGTGAGTGTGTGCCAATCACAAGGAGTAAAGCCACTACTAAACGTTGGAATTATCATGATAATAAGACTATAAATTGAATGAGTAAAAATAGTATCAATTCATCCAAATATTAGAAACAATAAATTGGCACCCTGCTTCATAGAAAAAGAATACATATAGTTAGGTATTTTCTTCACCAACTCATGTAGATACAATGGTAAATGGATAGAATGCTTCACACTAGGAGCTGGTCAAGGCAATGAAATTAATAGAATGGAAGCTGTAATGGTGGTGGTATGTTCTTTGCACCAGAAAGATGAGATGAGCCAGCAGAATCTACCTTGCTTTGCGTTGCTTTGAATCGATAAGGCTGGCGTGTGTATCGCTTTCTCTAGAGAATTTTGGTAATGTACAACAGACACAATCACAATGGCTATGGAACGATGACCCTCTTTCCAGCAAGCAAGCACAGTATAGTGACGCATATAACAAAAAAATTGAATCATCAGCCAAAACCAGGACTCACTCAGCATTTACTCTGTCTCAGGCTGAGAGAGAATATTCCTCTGCTCGTCTGATCTGTGACGGAACAGCTTAGCTATCTTTCGTCTTTCACAATCCTGCAATGCACATACTAAGTGTTAGAGGAAAATGGAAGGTCGTCTATCTCCACAGTTGTGCTTGGAAGGAACTTAAATTTCTCACCTTGAACATGTTGAGATAAAAAGGTTTGTCTGGGTTCATCTTTCTCAACTTATAGTATGTATATGCAAAACTCAGTTGATCACGGGGAGTAAACCGGTCAACCTCATTGAACCATAAACAAGAAAACAAGTTTGACATTGGTGTGTGAGCCCTCACAATAAAAGATCCTTCTGGTACATCTGCCAGAAACATGTAATGACATTTTGCCAATAAGAACACAGAAGCAGAAAGGTACTGCACGAAATTAAATAGAGAACAGTGAACTGTACTGCTGTGAAGAAGTTTGTTTGGATCAGATGCATTAAATCTTTGCAATCCATCAGCCTGATAAAATGCAAATTGTTCATCTATGACAGTATGATTGTATTTGTTAAGTTTCTTGTTTTGGGCAACTTCTTCCCACACACAATGCCTGTCATAGTGATTGGAAATTGCATATTCATAACCTTTACGCCACAGAAAGTACTCCAAGATGAGTAGGGGATCAAGCTGCAGCCGAAGCTTGCTATCTAACCATATTGAATACCTGCATAATTTCAAATGAACTGCTCGTAAAATGTTTTTGAAAAATAAAATAAAATTATAAGCTACTAAGATAGAAATTCTCCCTTCCACCTCTTTCTTCAGGGAGAGGTGTAATAAGCAATTCACATTCAAGCATCTCAACTTTTAATAAACGAACAGAAGTTTAGAAAGTTCAAGCAAACAATTATATGCATCGAAATGGAAGGCCCAAAAGAGAGGATAAAAGAGCAGTTTACAAGAGTATCACTAACTGTATCAAAAGTCCATCTTGCACCAATAGAATACAGTTGTCACTACTGAGTTAGATGACCTCATCGTTCACCTTTTGCTAATCCATTCACAGATAATACTACATTATATTACATGCAATGTGGAGTAAATCATATGACAGTGGTATCCACTACATGTTGGATAAATATGGAAAGGGAAGAAAAGGGGTAGGCAAGCAGCAAGATGAAGGCTGAGAGATGTGTGTCATTAACATTTTATGTTGTATCTTTCCCAACACCACCACACAAACAAGGAAAAGCAGAAACCCAGGCAAATTATGGAATCCTGAAAAAAATAGCTACCAAAGTTGAGAGCACCAATGAGTTAATGTAAAATTAGCACCAGCAATCCTCTGAACTCATAGTTATGGCATTGCCAGTTCACATAATTGACTTTTTCAAATATAGTTTATTCCCCAGTAGACAGAAGGGAAAGGGTAATTAATGCCGATCAAAAGTAGACCAAATTCCAACACAGTCTCTTATTCAGTACCATCTCAGCATTTTGATTATTTGCAGAAACTAGTACATTTTGCACTCATCAGTTGACTTCTGTCTACACAATATCTTTTAAATGGTGAAAACAACACATTGCTGCACCACTCAAAGTGAAAAAACATTAAACCCAAAAGAGACATTATTTACTTGAAGCTCTGCCTCTACAGTGAGACTAATCCCCACTCAAAACCAAACCATCATAAGAAGCTATCATCAATCTAATATTAGAAAAAAGCATGCACCAATTTTACGACTAGATAAAAAAAGATGCTAATGGAACTGATATTTTGATGCACTGCAGGAAGCATGAAGCTAATGCTGAGAATGTTCCAAATACAAATGATGTCCTTTAAGTTAAATATTAAGCCAGTGCAGACAACTAAATGCATTGAGAACGAATTTGTTTTTTCCTTCTTTCGTTCTTTTATTTTTTTGATTTGGTAAACCCCTGATTGGAAGTGAATATTGAGTGCTAACTAGCTATAGCATGGTATCATACAAGTCGAATATAAGCAGTAACATACCACAAACAAATACTACACAAGATTGTAATTCCAGTTACCTGGCTGAAGTAAAGAGTCGATGAGACAATAACTTTGGTATCTTTCCCACTCTCCGCATATCAGAAAATGGAAGATTCTTTACCACTACGATCTTCCATAAACCTACAAAGCCCATGCTGTCTGGCATCTTACCTTCAGCTGTAAGAGTTTTTAGAGTAGCTTCATCCACAAACATAACGAAGCAAACATTTTTCTTTGATATACGGGAGACCTGGAAAAGGAATTTAAATTAAGAAAATGTTATACAATGCAGCTAACGATAAGTTCTGGTAAAATAATTCAAAATCTCGTATAAACAACTACAAAAGCTATTGACAGAACCGAAACAGGTGAATCACAGTAGACTGTTTCCCCTTCTTCTTTTTATAAGTAGGTCATCCAAAAAAGACTCTACAACAACAACATACACAGTGTAATCCCACAAATGAGGTATGGGAAGGTAGAGCGTACGCAGACCTTACTGCTACCTTGGGAGAGAAAGAGGCTGTTTCCGATCTAGATGCATTATAAACCTTAACTGAAATAAGCTAGGAGCAATGTTTTCAAAAATGGTACTGACAAACCAGTTCAACTGATTTAACAAAGTTGCCACACAACTGGATGGGCTACAAGTCTATATTTCAGAAAAAATTGGTCAAACCGAGAAAATCAGAAAACCTGTAGAACCAAGACTGAACAAGCTGCGACTCTCTGAGCTTTTCATGTTCTTTCGGTCTTTTCTTCAGTTTTGAGTTAATTCTTGAACATAAAGACCATGATCCAAATAAAATACAAGTGTTTAACATGGCTAAGAAATTACTCTATCTTGAAGGAAAATTTAAAGCCAGCAAGAGAGAGAGTGAGAAGAACAAGGCAAGGAGAAAACTGCTTATGATGCTAACAAAATATCCTCTCAGCTCTATTTGTCAATATCGAGAAAGCTAGTTTGGCAGAGATATAAATTTGACTGATCACATCACAGTGATGATGGGGCTTTCACTGTTAGCATGTCCTATAGATTGGATAGCAACCAGCATAGCAGAAGCCAGTAAAGCTTGTGAAGGAACATGTGGAGAAACCCAGCACCTACCAAGGTAAAATGTTTTAAATGGTTGGTTATGAGGGCTTGCCTGACACATGAAGTCCTGAAGAAGAAAGGAATGACTATAGTATCTTGATGTTCACTGTGTGGGAAGACAGAAGAGACCAACAATCATTTGTTTTTGCACTGCAGTTCCACAGCACAGATTTGGGCCATATTTTTCACCCACAGAAAACTAAGTGGAGTATGCCTGTTGAGTTCTTGGATTAGGGGGAGCAGCAAGAGGCAGAAGGCTAGGTGGAGATTAATCCCCCATGCCTATGGTGGACAGTTTGGAGAGAGAGGAATAGTAGAAATTTTGAAGAAACATCCAAGTCCATTCATAAGGTTAAATGGAATTGTAATGTATCTCTCCTATTTTGGTGTAGACACATAAGTTCAGAGGAATCAGAACAGCTCGTAGAAATTTTGGGATCTCTGTAAGTAGTGTACTTTATCTGCACCAACTTTTGAAGGTCCAGCATTAGCATCTCCTTTGTAGAAAAAAAAAAGAAAAAAAGCTTGAGGATAAGAATAAGGAAGATAGGATTCTGGCGGGGTGATGAAGTTGAAATGGCAGGGTGAAAGAAAAGGGAAAGATAGACAAAAGAAAGATAAGAGTTTGATAGGTGGACGTGGTATTTCACCTGGGGAGAACACTCTCTCTCTCTAAAGTCAATCTACATGTTTTATTGCATCTTTGGATTAAA